GTTGGTGGTGGGAGCGGTGCAGCAGCTTCCCTGTGGGTTCACTCCATTTAGTCCTCAAAACAACGTTGACGCGGGTTGTGGTTGTCTCTTTTCACAGACGGAGGATTATGGTTTCGGGGAGACCGCTCGTGGCCTCCCCTCGGCTTTTGTTCAGCACTGAAGGGGCAGCGTCTGCTTTCAGAGTTGGGTGCCCAGGGGCACCTGAACTGCATCACAGAGGCCCAAAGTGCTGACCATGGCTGCGTCTGGGTGTCTCCATCCTCATCCCGTCTGTGAACTAGCTCCATCTGTGCCAGGCACCCCAAATACAGCCAGGAGACTTCAGTGCTGGTTTCTGCCCCAACACTTTCTGTGTGACTCCAGGACAGTGGTTTACCTCTCTGGGCCTCTTAGGTGAGCAGGTCCTGAGCTGAGGAGATTTTCTCTGCAGCCCCCACACTTGGGCCTAGACCACACGCTGCTCCTCATCCCACACCTGCTCTCTGGTTGATGTCGCCCTTGGCCCTTGGCAGTCCCCAAGGGCACCACCTGACTGGCCTCTCGATTCAGCGCCCTAGCCACCGCCCCACCACCACCCGAAGCGCATCCTCTGGCTTAGAAAACATCTCCTGTTCACCACGGAGTAAATTCATCACCTACCCCAGCAGGCAGTGGAGGGGATGAGGCAGGATGATGGACAGAAGGTACTGCACCCCGTGCCGGGTGTTTGGTAGATGCTGAAGAAAGGCTACTTCCTTTTCTTATCAGTCCCTCTTTCTGCTATGAAAAGTGTGAAGTGATCTGAAAATGTGAGTGTCAGCCTGGCACTTAATCCCAGCACCTTGCTAGGCCAAGGCAGGTGAATCACCTGAGGTCAGGAGTTTGAGAGACCAGTCTGATCAATATGGTGAAACCCCGTCTCTACTAAAAACACAAAAATTAGCTGGTCATGGTGGCGGGTGCCTGTAATCTCAGCTATTCGGGAGGCTGAGACAGGAGAATTGCTTGAACCTGGGAGGTGGAGGTTGCAGTGAGCCAAGATGGTGCCACTGTACTCCAGCCTGGGCAGACAGAGCGAGACTTCGTCTAAAGAAAGAAAGAAAGAATGGAAAGAAAGAAAGAATAGAAAGAAAGGAAAGAAAGACAGAAGGACAGAAAGAAAGAAGAAAGAAAATGTGAGTGTCACTGTGATACAGCTGGATTCCTGAGCCTGCCTTCTCACCTCCCTACCCGTCATGTATCCAAATGTCCACCCCAGGGACTAGGGCTTTAAAACAGTCTATCACCCAGTCCCCATCACATGGCCTGGGGCCACCTGGGTGGTGGGATGCCAAAGTGGTTAGGCACAGAGGCTCCGACCCCAGTTCTGTCACTAACTAGCTGTGTGACCTGGACCAAGTGGCTTAATCTCTCTGTGCTCCAGCCTCCTTATCTGTAAAATGGGGGTGATACTAGATACTATACTTCAGAGGCTTGTTGTGAGAATTACAATAATTTATGTATGTAAAATAGTTAGAACAGTGCCTGGCCAAACAAAAAACAAAACAAACAAACAAAAAACCCACACAAAAAAAGCATTCAACAAAGATTAGCTTCTGTAATTATTGCGTAGAATATAATACTAACCCCCTGAACGGTGTCTTCCTGCTTCCAGTTTCGTCCCCTCTGAAACGTTCTCCCCTCAGTGCTCAGATAACTTTCTCGGTTGCTCCTGGTCACTCCTGTGCAGGATTGCCAGATAAAAGACAGGAAGGTCAGTTCACATTCAAACTTAACTGGAGGTCTGGTATTCCGATTCACTAAATTTGGCAATTCTACACCCATGCTTTAAAAATGCCCCTGGTTCTCCAATGCCTTTAAAATAAAATCTGAGCTTTGTAGCATGACGTTCAGGCTCTCCATGATCCAAGCCCCTGCCCTCACCATTTAATCTCGCCTCTTTATTTCTTATCGTCCACAGCCCCCTCATCTTCTGCTCCAGCCACTTCCAACTGCCTTCCTGGAATCCCAGAGAATGAATTGGAGCATTTTGGAGCTAGGCAGACCATTTGCCACATTTTTAGCTAAGGCAGTTGGGGCCCAGAGAGGCTAAGGGTCTGCCCAATGCCACACAGCCAGTGGATAAAGCCTATGGTGCTCTTACCGGGACCTCAAACCTTCACTCTGAATCACCAAAAGCTGCTGTCAGGCCAGAGGAGGACCCTCTTGAAACAAACATTAGCTTTGAAATCCCTGACCTTAGGAGGACCAGCCATGCACTTCTCATTTGGGGAGTGGAGAGGAGGAGGCTGTATCTGCTGTCCTGAGCAGTTCCTAGGGGCTGGCCTGGCAGGCTGGAATGACCAGGAGGTTTTGAGGGGTAAGGAGAGATGACCTGGAAGTGTTTGGGACTCAGGTAAGGATACACCTAGCATATAGGAGAGTGCTTCTGGGACTTGAGGCTGGAAAAGCAAGGCCCTATTTACAGACCTGTACTTGGGGGATCAGCCTGGAATGGAAACTTTTTTTTTTTACTCCAGGCAGCTGAGAGTGAGGACTCGGGATTCTGAAATGGACAGGACAATCCTGACTGGTCCAGCTGCCTTGTGATGACCTAGGGGGCAAACACGGAGTGGAAGTCATCTTGATGGGAGTGGACACCTTTCCCACTAGGCAACTGGGCAGGTCTCACCATTCTACAGTCACCCCCAGCATAAAATATAAAGTGGAACAGCTTCCTTGCCAGATCTCTGGGAGGTTCTGGCTCCCTTACAGCATCTCGATGAAAATATCTCTGCTCAGTGCTGAGAATTTGGTCTTAGTAATTGACTTGTATAATGTCCAAAGACTGTGCATATAACTGGCCCAAAGTGATGCATCATCTTTAGCAAAAAGATTTATCATGGAATCTGCAGCAGCCTCCCGCTTGTCTGGAGCAGAAATAGGAACAGCTCTCCTTGCCAGGAGTCATCCTTTGTCTTCAAAGCAAATTCCTCTATGGTTGGAAGCTTCCTGGGCCCAGGCTGAGGCCAATGGCCAACTCCCTGGCCAAGGTCCCGGAGTCCCAGCATCTCTATCTATCTCAGGAACCTCAGCCACAGGCAGCAGCTCCGCAGAAAGTGGAGCACTGGGTTTAAGAGTCCTGAGTTCTAGGACTGACTCTGCCACCAGCTGGCTTGTGATCTTGGGCAAGTCACTTAATACTCCTGGGCTTTTCCTTCTCCATCTGTAAGACGGAATTTGTGATTTCTGCTTGAACTATCTCGCAGGAGAAATGGATGAGGAATTACCTGTCACCCACTTTGCAGAGGGGCCCCATAGAATCATGATTTAGAGACTGGGCTTTGGGATCAGAAGGATCTAGGGTCAAATCCCAGCTCTGTTGTTTGGTTATATCACGTTAGGCAATTTCTTAACCTGTTGAGAAAGTGGGGACACTCAGAGTATCTACTTCAGAGCGTAGTAAGGAATAAAATGAAAGGATGCACAAGGAGCCCTTAGATTATGCTGATATGCACTCAGGTTTTAGCTGGAGCTTTCACTGTGTACCCAGCTGCCAGGGAGCAAACAGGAAGGGAAGCCTGAGTGCAAACGTTATTCGTTACAAGACAGCTCCATCACTACATGTCACTATTTAAATGGACTCTTTAGTAACTCTAGATGAGGAAACTGAGATTTAGAGAAGGTAAGGACTCACACAAGATCACCCACCCAGTCAGTGGCAAAAGCTTTCAGTCCATTTCGAACTAACTCCAGGGGCTGTGCTTTTCCTGCCACGCCGCACTGGCTTATAATGTGGTGGGAAAGAGTCAAGACGTTCATGTGAGCAGCAGTAAGGATGCAGAGTAGTGACGTGCAGCGTGTGTAAGCATGGACTGGGGGACTTGGGCTTATTTTCCACCATTGCCACCTTTCAGTTATATAATCATGGACAAGTTGATTAGCCTCTCCAAGTCTTGTATATGTCAGGTTCTTGGCACAGTAAATGGTGTTCCATGAGACACTTCTCACTGTCGCGGTTAAAGGCAGGGTGTGCTGTGTGCTGAAGGGCGGTGCTGTGGCCGCTCATAAGTGCTGGCAGAGTTGGCCTGTGGAAGATCACTCTGGGTTGGAGGTGATCAGGCAAGACAGGTAGGAATGACATTTAAGTGGGACTTTGAAAGACAGAGGCTTTGGATGAGTGCAGCCAAGTGGGAGGACCTTCTGGGTAGAAGGGGAATGCACAGCAAGGCGCAAGCTATGAAGTCTGGGGAGAATTCGAGGTGAAGTGGAAGCTGGGAACCCATGAGGAAATGCTCCTATTCATCCGCCTACTGTAATAGCAGCGACTGCTTTCAAAATCACTTCCTATGTGCCACTTTGTAATCATCATGTCTAATGTTTGCAGCCATTCACCAGGGCAGGTGACATTATCCCCTTTTGCAAGATAAGTAATCGAGGCTCAGATAGACTAAAGAAGGTCCCCACAGCTGCGAGAGTAAGTGACACGGCCAGGACTGAGAGTCAGGTCTGTCTCCAAGGTGTGCCCTGTCTGCACCCTCACGCTAAATACCAACCCCTCCCAGGCCCACCCAGGTGACTTTGTGCTTCATTCAATGCCTGTTGTTACAAGCCAGGGGAGGGGCTTATAGAATTAGGCATTGTCTCAGGACTCCAGCAGCTTGCAGTTCTGGTAAACACACACAGCGTGGGTGCTCAGCTGGTTGGGAAGCACAGAGGAAGTGTGGCATTCACACGGGCTGGCACAGCCTCCCTTATCAGACTAAGCGCTCTTGCCCATGCAGATGGGACAAGCCGGTATGGACAGTCTACTCTGCTGGCAAACAGATGGTGGGATGGGGGCAGGTGAGGCGCTCTGCCCTCTGCTTCACTCCTGTCTTCTGCCCTTACCCCTAAGATCCACCAGGCTGGCATAAGTGAAGAAGGAGAGAGGCAGAGCCTCAGGCTGGTACACTCTGGCTGCTACCAGGCTCCAGCATGGGGGATTTTAACCTCCCTGAAGCCTGCTGGATCTCTGTACCAAGACCAGGTGGTGACAGAGCTCACAACTGCTGCTGATGGTCTTCCGACCCCGTGATGATGTCTGTTTTGTTCTCGTCTCTTTCAGGAATATTTCAACGCAAGTGTTTCTTTGTCTTCTCTGAATCCATCTTCTCCTGGACCCTCACTGCCAGCTGCTTGCGTCCACGTGATTGAACCATATGAATCAGCTATGCGGTTGGCAGCCGACCTATCTGAAGGCTTGGCCACCTCAGTCAAATATACTTTCTCCTACCCCGCCCACTCAATTCCTGCCCCACTCTCTGGTGCCCCTGAGAATGCTCCATCTCATCCTCCTGCCAGGCTACTTCCTTCTCCTCACCTCCTTCTGGAAGCCTTCCCCAACTCCGGTGGCCTGTCCTATTTCTAGACCTGACAACTCCCTGGAGCATAGCTTGTTGGTTAACAAGCTTCTCTTCTACTTACTTATCCGTATGTACGTAAGCATGGGAGGTCTGTGAAGGCAGGAAGCGTTCTTTTCCTACCTCTTCATCGTATCCCCAACATCCAGCAAGGAAGGGTATAGGCCTTGGTGATGTCTGAGGGATTCAGCAGGATGGAGGCAGATCTGAGAACTTCTGATCAAAAAGTGATTTCCATAGATCATCAAAGATGATGTCTAGATTTGCTCAATACTGCAAGGCCTCTCAGGATTTATTAGCCACTGTCTCCCACATTTATTAGCCAAGGGGCCAGGACTGAGCCTTGGCATAGATGAAATGATCTGTTTTCTCCTCCCTTGGAGAACCTCTGACTCCAGCTGTGTTGAATAAACTGGGTGCAAAAGTCCCACTATCAGAGTTACACTTAACTCTGTGGCCCACCACAGACCCCAGCCCAGAGGTGAGCCCCAGTTAGAGGGAGAGGAATCTGACAATGACTCATAGCCTGGTTCTTGCCCCCGTTTTGCAACTGACTTGCTGTGTGACCTTGGAAGAGTTAGTCTGCCTTTCTGGGTCTTCTTGTTTTCATCTGTACAAACAAGGGTAGTGGCCTAGAGGATTGCTACAGTGCTTTCCAGCTCTGAACCTTTGATTCTCTGACTCAAAGGCAAGGATTTCTACTGCTTCTTGAATAAATATATTCCTCTCCTGACAGCCAGCCTGGGGAAATTGATAATTCTGTCAGAGCACCCTTGCAGTAAACCTAGAGCCCTGCAGTGTCCCCCAAGACTGGAAACTTTATTTTTATTCATTGCTCATCCTCATTCCCCCTCTCCCTGGCCCTCCCTCCAGCCCCGCTTCACCACCCCACCCCCAATCCAGGACACAGCAACCTGCCATGAATGAAGAGTGGTTGGTCACATGTCCCGGTCACCATGGCGACGGATCCCCGCAGACGAGGTAGGCATAAAAGTCACATGAGAACCCCGGAAAACTGGCTGAGGTATTTATAGAAGCAGCGGCTGGTGTCTTTATGAAAATGGGTCTATTTTTGACTCTGGTACTGAAACCTCCATGCTGTCCCTGGGGCAAGGCAGGTTTGCATCTGATTCTCTCTCCTCAGGCTTGGTGGGGCAAACATTCCCCTCCCCTTCCTGTTGTCTCCCGGCTCAACCTCCCACCCTGACTCCCAGCTGAAGTCAGTCCTGCTAGAGCTAAATTCCCTATTCTGTTTACATTGAATGATGCTTCCTTCCAGGCTGGAGCTTGGGGCCCCAGGATGCTGGGTGTGTTGGGAATTTGGGACACCCTTCTTCACCCTCCTCCCCAGGTACAAACTAGAGGAATGTCCTTGCTGCTCTCTAAATATTAGAAGGACACTGCTTTCCTCAAAGCTTTTGCCATTTGTTTTTTCCTTAAAAGTTTGGAGGTCACTGGTAAAGGGAGGGGGGACATTTCTGAGTCTAAGCCACAGAAGGGTTCAGCCACCTCCGCCCTTCATGGGTGTGACAGTCGTGCCAGCAGGAACTGTTGTTCATTGAGCACTCACTTCCTAAGTTATCTCATTTAATTCTCACCACATGCTGTAACATAATGATACTGCCGCTATCCCCATTTTACAGATGAGGACAAGGACTCTCACAGGCAGCGTGAGAACCCGGATCGTCCATTCTAAAGTCCCTGCTCTTCCCATGGTGCCCTGCCATGGAGTGTGGCAGAGAGTGTGCCCAAAAGGAGGAGGCAGGACGGAAGGCTGACGCTGAGGACAGAACCGCACGAAGGCAGTCTAGAGGAGCAGGGAGAAATGCATTTTGATCCTTTCATGAGCAGGTAGCACAGGCACAGAGTCAAGAAAAAAATCAAACAAAATTAAAATAAGCCCAACACTAAGTTTCCCTTCTCAGTGTCCCCTAGCCCGGTCCCCCTCTCAGAGGAAGTCACTGTGGCTGGTTTAGGGTATTCTCCTTCTAGAGATCTCATATGCATATAGGAGCAGATACGGATTTACTGAATATATATGGTACAGACATATGGCATGAAATTCAAAAGGCAGATGATGAAAAGTAATTCTTTCTCCCATGCCTGCCCCCACTCATGCAGTTCTTCACCCTAGAGGCAAGCACTAATGTTTCTTATATACCATTCCAGAAGTATTCAATGCCCCTGTAAGTACATGTATCATATACAAATGGCCATACACTCTCTACGTTATTCTGCTGGGTTTTTTTCACTTAACAATACATCTTGGCCGAGCGCCGTGGCTCATGCCTGTAATCCCAGCTACTCAGGAGGCTGAGGCAGGTGAATTGCTTGAACCCAGGAGGTGGAAGTTGCAGTGAGCCAAGATCGTGCCACTACACTCCAGCCTGGGAGACAGAGCGACACTCTGTCTCGAAAAAATAAATAAATAAATAAACATCTCTGATCCGGAGATGTTTCCGGATCAGAACCTATGGGGCAGACCTGTTCACTTTAATGGCTGCAAAGAATTTCATTGCTGGAGGTACCATAAATTATTTAAATGGTTTCTTGTTGACAGAGATCTAACTGTTTCCATTTTTTTCTATTACAAACACCCCTGCCAGGAGTATCTTTAAATGAATGTCTTTAAACAAGCACATGTGCAAAATGAGTATGTGACTTCATAATTTTGATAGATATGGCCGAATGGTCAATGGATATGTGCCTTTATAATTTTAATAAATGTGGCCTAATTATTTGCCACAGAGATTGTATAATTTAACTCCTCTCTCATTAGGAACATGTGTGTTATTAACTTTTCATTTGTTTTAATTATTTGCCAACATAATAGGTAAAAAACGGAATCTCATTTTTCAATTTGCATTTCTCTGATTATGAATGAAACTGAACATCTTTTTACATGGGTAAGGGCCTTTGTGTTTCATTTTCTATGAGCTGTATATTCCTATCCCTTCCTATCTTTTTCTTACTGATTTTCAGGAGCTCTTTCTTTAACGACCACTCAATGAATATTTCTGAACACCTGCTATGTGTCAAGACTGTTCCAGGTGCTGGTGACACGGCTTTCATCTAGTTCGCTTTCATCTTCAAACAGATGAACAGGAAAGTGAGTGGAATGCCAGATGGTGATACGTGATTTCAAGAGCAATAAGCAGGATGGGGCAAAGGGAAAACCAGTGACGATGTCATATTTAGAGACGTCTCACCACCCATTTCACCCAACGTGATAACGGTTTTATCTGTGTTTTCTTTTTCCATAGTATTTATATGATTTTATTAAAAATAATTGTGCTTTGCAAAAAAAAACACAAATTTTTTGACACATAATAATTGTACATATTTCTGAGGCACACAGTGATGTTGTAATACATATAACGTAGAGTGATCAGATCAGAGTAATTAGGATATCCATGATCTTAAACACTATTTCTTTGCGTTGGGAACATTCAATATCTTTCTTCTAGCGATTTGAAATCATATAATATATTATCGTTAACTATAGCTAGAGTTTACTATAGTACTAGAGATACTAGAGCTTATTTCTCCTACCTAGCTCCTATTCCTGCCTTCTCTCTACCCTTCCCAGCCTCTGTTACCCTCTTTTGCAAAGAACAAACTTCTGACTCGGGTCATCCTTTCTATTGTATGTTTGCTTTGCTATTTCATTAATTTCCGCATTGTCTTGATCATTTCCCTCCTTTTCCTTTGAGTCTATTTTGTAGTTCTTTCCCTGCGTTTTTGAGATGGTCGCTTGGTTCATTGATTTCAAACTTTCTTCTTTTCTGTTTAAAGCTATAAATATTCTTCTATGTACTGCTTTTGATGCATTCCTGTGGCTTAATTTTTTTCATTTATCAATATTGATACATCTACAATTTATTTTGGTGTGAAGAGTAAGGTAAGGAGTCAAATTTACTTTTTTTCAGATAACCCAGTCAATATCACTGATTAAAGATCCATCTTTTATTGGGTGGGCGCTGTGGGTGGCTCATGCTTATAATCCCAGCACTTTGGGAGGCTGAGGCAGGCAGATCACGAGGTCAGGAGATCGAGACCATCCTGGCCAACATGGTGAAACCCTGTCTCTTAGTTGGGCATGCTAGTGCATGCCTGTAGTCCCAGCTACTCAGGAGGCTGAGGTAGGGGAAATCACTTGAACCCAGGAGGCGGAGGTTGCAGTGAGCTGAGATCACACCACTGTACTCCAGCCTCGAGTACTCCATCTCAAAAAATAATAATAATAAAAATTAGAATCCATCTTTCCTCTGCTCATTTAAAATATAACCTTTATCATATTCTAAGCGACTGTGTCTGAATTTATTTCTGGACTGTGTCTTCTGCCTCATTGTATTGCTCGTGACTGAGTCCACACTAATTTATTTATTTTTGTTTGTTTATTTATTTTTGAGATGGGATCTCACTCTGTCACCCAGGTTGGAGTGCAATGGTGCCATCTCTGAGTCCACACTAGTTTAAACTTGTAGCTTTGTAATATGCTTCACCCTCTGGTAGGCTAATTCCTCACCTGACACCCAGTAATTCTCCCTTTCCTAATTCCCCTGCGTCTTCATTGTTTCTTTTTCTGCATGAGTGTTTGCTTAACTAGCTCGTCTAGTTAAAAAGAAGAAAAGCTTTTGTTATTTTCACTGGGGTCATTTTAGAATTACGGATTAGTTCTAAGTTCACATGCTTCCTATGTTTTGTCTCCCACTCTGAGAACACGGCATTCCTTTTTCTATGTTCACACCTTCTTTTGGATCTCTGAGCAGCATTTGGAAGCTTTCTTCACATAGATTTTCTACACGTCTTTGAAAGTTTATTACTAAGTATTTTTCTTCTTCGTTGTTCTTGCTATTGTAACGGAAGCATTTTTTCTTATATCTTATTTGCTCTTGTGTATCCGAAGGTATAGATATTTAATACGTTAATTCTGTATCCAACCATGTTACTAAATGATCTTGTACAAGTTTTTTAGTTGTAAATTATTTTTTGTTTTTATTTTTATTTTTGAGACAGAGTCTCAATCTGTGGCCCAGGCTGGAGTGCAGTGGTGCGATCTTGGCTCATGGCAGTTCCATCTCTAGGGTTCAAGCAATTCTTGTGCCTCAGCCTGAATAGCTGGGATTACAGGCCGCACCTCCACACCTGGCTAATTGATGTATTTTTAGTGGAGACGGGGTTTCACCATGTTGGCCAGATTGGTCTTGAACTCCTGACCTCAGGTGATCTGCCCACCTCGGCCTCCCAAAGTGCTGGGATTGTAGGCATTAGCCATCGCACAGGCCAGTTGTAAATTATTTTTTAAATGAAGCTTTCAGCCTTTAAGGGAAGAATGCACATTATAATTAAAACCTCCAGGGTAAATGGCTGTTTAAGGATTCAATGAACTAATAAATGTAAGTTGCTTAGAGTACTACTCTAAGTCTTAGAGCACATCTTATGAGCTATCACAAATAACAATAGTGATAATACTGCCTTGAATAAAAACAGTGATAATACAGAGTTTCATCTCATTTCATCTTTGCGATGACCTCATGAGGTTAGAGGACAGATTTTATTTCCATTTGCCAAATAAAGATTCTGAAGATCACACATAGTGATATGTCAAAAGTCACCAGTTAGGCCAGGCATGGTGGCTTACTCCTGTAATCCCAGCACTTTGGGAGGCCAAGGTGGGCAGATTGCTTGAGTCCAGCTGTTTGAGACCAGCCTGTGCAACAAAGCAAAACCCATCTCTATAAAAAATACAAAAAAACTGGCTGGTGTGGTGGTGTGCACCTGTGGTCCCAGCTTCTTGGGAGGCTGAGGTGGGAGGATTGTTTGAATCTAGGGGATGGAGGTTGCAGTGAGCTGAGCTCGAGCCCCTGCACTCCAGCCTGGCCACAGAGTGAGAGTCTGTCTCAAAAAAAGAAAAAACAAGTCATCTGTCAAGGTAGAGCTTGGGTCAGAACCCGGGTTTTTCTGACTATATACATCACATTGTCTCGTGGAAGACAAAGAGAGGTAAATCTTTTTGTAAAGCGACGGGTCCCTTAGAATCACGCATTCCAAAGGTCTGCTTTGATTTCCACTCTGGATATTCACACATAGGTATGTATAGCTGGGGGCATGCCTGCCCTGCTCAGTATGGATTCTATGGAGTCAGATTCTCCAGGGGGAATATTCTGTGCCTCTGAGTTCCAACAGGACAAAGAAGCACAGCTGCCTTGGGAGTTTGGGCGAGGGGGGCCTGACTTCTGTTGCGTGTGCCTCTTGCTCCTGTGAAAAGTCATCCTGTCGTCCCCTTCCTCTTTGGGCATGGTGGTTCAGAGGCTTCTCTGAGTCATGAGGAGGAAGAGGAGGTGGCAGGCATGGGAAAGGATTTGGAGGCACTTCCTTTGGTCCTCCAGGGCCTCTGACCTGCCCCTCTTTCTCCTCACATTCCTCCCCATTTCTCCTCCATCTCTCCCAACCTTGCTCACCACTGAGGTTTGTTAATGTCAGGAATCCTCCTCAAGCCCTGCAGGGAGGCTTCCATTTTACAGTCTGAATGAAGAACTTTCTAGAAATTGCTATGAGATAGAATCTGGGAATAGAAATTGAGGTCTCCTCAAGGGATGCTTCTGAACGGTTCTGAAGTTTCCACCTCACATTTAAGCCTAGATAGAAAGTCATCCCCACAATGTCACTATCACACTCTAAAACTTTCAATGGCTCCCTACGAGCCTCTGACATAAGTAGAGGCTTTCCACCATGACACGTCAGGCCTCCATGTTAGAGAATAAAGATCACCTTCCAGCTTTATCTTCCACTTGTTCCCCAAGCCCACAGCTTCTAAACAGCCCACCAGGATCCAGGCCCAGGTCTGTGAGATCGAGAACATGCTGATCTTCATGAGCTTGTTCTGTTTCCTTATAGTGGTTCCCTAGCCCCAAATAGGAAGCTAGATGGACTCATTTTATCCTATTTTGTCTGAAAACTGTAATTCTATTAATGCACCTCAAATTTAAGTTAGCTGTTTTAGTGGCTGTTTCACATTGATGCCTGATTTTTCTTTAGCTTGAAATAAACTAGAACTCTAGGCAGTTTTCATATAAACTCTGACGGAACTGAGAGCTGTATATGGAGAGAGAGAAAGAGAGAGAAAGAATATCAATTGTATTTCCTTCTTCAAAGCCACATAACGAAGTCCCCTTGCCACTGCTTTAGGAAACACCAGGAAACACCTCTTAGATCTGAATGAAGCTTGTCATCGTCTCCTTTCCTCTAGGGCTGCTCTGGGGCTCGTAATAGGCCCTGGTTCCTACAGAGGAAAGGTGTTAGCTCCTTGACATCTTCCAAGTTGTCCTTGGCTGACTGTGTAAACCCTTTCTCTGGATTCTGCCAGGGGCTGGTTGAACTTAGCACAGTACCCGACAGAGAGTAGATTTCCCCCAAGTATAACTTGTTGGGCTTGAAACCCAGAACGCTGCCTGCAGACAGGAGCCGGGGGCCAGGGGAGGAGCTGCCCACTGTCTCCTGACTCTGCTCAAGGAAGTCCCTGTCCCCTTTTGGATTTTTACTGCTCCTTACTCAACACATGGCTCATATTGGGACAGGTGACCTTCTGGACAGCCTGGCTTGCAAGGCAGAGCTCCCTCTGTGGGATCAAAGTTCCGTCCCATCTACTCAGGATCCCAGGACGAAGAGCTCTGGCCTGAAGCAACCCCTCCACCCCCTGCCAAGCTCCTGCTCCTGCTCCTCACAATATTGCCATCATTTTCTTCATCATCATCACAGCAGCACCAGTTTACATATACCGAGTCCTCACGGTGTGCCAGGCTGCTGTTATAAATGCGTTGATTGGAAAAATCTCATTTATTACTCAACTTCATTTCACAGGTGAGGACACACAGGCCCTGAGAGGTTCCCAACTGGTAACGATGGGGTGAGACTGTGAACCCTGGTGCCTCCACTCCTGGGCCGTTTTTAACTACACCCTCAGTGTGCTGTCACACTATGCTGCCACTTTGTCCCTGCCTCTGAGGGCTGAAGCTTCATGTCTCCTCATTTACCAACCCAGGATGGCAAACGTGCTTCATTTCTTCTGCTGACTCCAACTGATTGGTGACATGATGAGGCCAAGTAGGGACTCAATGGGAAATCAAACCAAAATGTATTAGGGATGGTGGCCATGGGCAAGGAAAGGAATGAAGGGAACAGAAGTGTCATGGATGTGGGTTAGTCCTGCAGAAGCATGGAGCTCGTGTTCCAGGTCCCAGTTCCTATTTCCCCCAGGGAATGGCACTGGCACTCACCTCTTCCTTCAGGTAGAATCCCACCTCCCCACACGGATCAGCTTCCTCCTTGGAGGCCACAACAGGCTAAACGTATCTCAAGGCACCGCGAAGCCTAGCATCTGTTCTACAAATACATTTATACAGTAATGATGGTGGCTGGGGACTTTCTTATCAGCTGTGTTTGAGATTTTGAATGCTAATTTGGTGAGGTTTACTCACCCTCTTTGCTCATCTAACAGTGTCTAGGAGTCTGGGGTTCCTATGACAGCTATGGGAAGAGGCCCCACTTACTGCTTCTAAACCAGGGGTGAGGGAAATCTCAATGGTGTGGAGGAGCAGGTGCATAAGTGGTCCCAACCATCTTGCTACTTCCACACTTATTCAATGATTCCATGGCTGTTCTGGTTATTTATTGCTGCCTAGCAAATCACCCTATAGTGCAGAGGCTTAAAACAACAATCATCTTTTTCTCTCTCATGGTTTCTGTGGGTCAGGTGTTTGGGAAAGACTGAGGGGCAGTGGTTTCTGCTTCATGCAGTGTCAGCTGTGAGGCTTGGCTGGAGGATCTGCTTCCCAGATGACTCACGCACGTGGCTGGCAGGTTGGGGATGGTTGTAGGTCAGGAGCTCAGCCAGGTTTGTGGGCTGAATGCCTTGATTTCTCTCCTACAGACCTCTCCATAGGTTGCTTGAGCTTCCTCACAGCATGGTAGGTAGATTCTCTCTTTTTTTTTTTTTTGAGATGGAGTTTCGCTCTTGTTACCCAGGCTGGAGTGCAATGGCGCCATCTCGGCTCACCGCAACCTCCGCCTCCTGGGTTCAGGCAATTCTCCTGCCTCAGCCTCCTGAGTAGCTGGGATTACAGGCACGCGCCACCATGCCCAGCTAATTTTTTTTGTGTCTTTAGTAGAGACAGGGTTTCACCATGTTGACCAGGATGGTCTCGATATCTTGACCTCGTGATCCACCTGCCTCGGCCTCCCAAAGTGCTGGGATTACAGGCTTGAGCCACCGCGCCCGGCCGGTAGGTAGATTCTAAGAGCAAGCACACCAATCCAGAGATAATGGAAGCTACTGTGTTCTCATGGTCTGTGTCCAGAAATAGACATGATATTATTTCTCTTGTTCACATAGTCTCAGAGCCTAGAGTCAAAGGGAGGGAATATAGACATCACTTCTTGAAACAGCAAGAATTTTGAGGCCATGTTTTAAAACATGCACAGTGAGGAAACTCTAATAATTGTGCCACCAAGAACAAAGGATAGGACATATCTTAGCAACTGTATGTTTAAGACACTCAGAAACACAAACACAACTTAGGTGAATTGCAGCTTGGGTTGTTTCCATGTCCTGGGAAAAAGCCAACATGTCCTCCTACATCTTCCTATGTAACATATTTGGGAATAGTATCTTTGAGGCTCATGTAGAAAGATAAACGCTAGGAACATGGCTTCAATATCTTTCCTTTCAGGAAAGCAGGCTTGAGTGGATGGGGGAAACCTCGGAAGGAAAGGCTAGCCAATACACAATCTCCTCTTTCAAGGAGGACCAGTGCGGGATGAATGGGTTAGGCCATCACGCTGGACCTGCATGTTTGATGGGGCTGCCCAGCATGTAAGCTTTGACTGAACACTTGCTATATGTAAGTCACTGTGCTGGGGCTGTACTGCCTGAAGCTATGAATAAGAAAAGGTCCCTGCCCTGTAAGCAGTCACACTCTAATTTGAGAGGAAGGCATAGACACGTGAAGGCAGACCTTTGTTATAAGGCTCTAAAGGTCAGGGTTGAGAACAAGGACTTTAGACCCAGGATGCATCTCACTGTGCGACCTGGACAGATGATTTAACCACATAAGCCTTGATTTCCCCTGTAGTGAAATGGGAATATGAATAATACTGACCTTATAATATTACACTGTTGATGTATTTCCATATGCCATAGAAAAGGAAGAACTTGTTTTCCAGATGCTCAGAAGAGGGTTGGCCACTGAGAGCTGGAGTGTTCAGGAAGATTTCGTGGTGGAGGCCTTAGTTCCCGTTTCCATCTCAGCCCCTTCCTGTGGCTTCAGGCCCACCTCTCCATGAGTGCTGTCATCAAGGATGCTTCTCAGCCTTCATCTTTGTAACTTTGCTGCAGATTTCAACACTGTTGTGAACTACCTTTCCTTTTTGCAATTCTGTTTCTTCTGTGATACACGTCAGCCTCTCAGCTTCTGTCTCTTCTTCTCTGCCTTCTTTCCTGCCCCTCAGAAATAAGCACTTCCTGCCAAGCCTCCATCCTCATGACTGTCTTCTGTGTGCTTCCTCTGGAGGGTCTCACCTTCCCCCAACCCCTTTATGGTAATGACTTCCAAGCGTACGTCTCCTGCCCTCTTTCCTGGACTTCATACCCGTATTTCTAACCACGCCTTATTCTTTCACCAACGATTTATGGACAGTCCACTGTGTGTTAAAGTTGGGCATGGCCTCTGTCCTGTAGAACTTCCATGTCAACCAGGGGGACTGTCCCTAAGCGGCCAGTTGTGCCATTAGTGCTTAATTACAATTGTGACAAGGGCTAAAAAGGAGGAGAAAAGTCCTGCTGGGAGGTTGACCCAGTTCTTCAACATGGTCAGGCGAACTCTTGGAGGAGTGGGCAGGGAGTGAGGGAAGAGGACAAGTGGGACTGAGCAGATCCCTGGCAGGGCGGGCTTATGGGCTCAAGTCTGAGTTAGGAAGGAGGGGAGGGGAGGAAGAGCTGGGAGAAGGGTGGGGTATTAGTGGGCTACAGGGAAGGCCATGGGGGGAGGGGTGTGACGTGAGGCTGGAGACAGGGAAGGGCCCTGAAAGACATGCTAAAGATGTACGTGCAACTCTGCAAGCTTGAAAAGGGTGTGATTATGTTTGTACCCCTGAAAGATCACTCTTGCTGCTGCTTTGTGGAGAGAAGGGAGTAGACTAGAGTTGGTGTCAGGAGGGGACTGTGAGAGTCCAGGTGAGTAATTATTATAGTTTGGAGTAGGCAGTAGGGGTGGGGGGTGGTGGCAGCAGAATTAAAGAGAAACAGCCAGATTCCAGAGATATGTAGCAGGTAAGATCTCCAGGATTCACTGGTAGATTTTATGAAGGGGGAGGTCTCAAGGGTGATGATTGGGGTTTTGGCTGGCTCAACTATTCACAGAGCCAGGGAGCACAGCAGGAGGAGCAAGAAGCCAAATGCTGAGTGTTCTGCCTGGTAGATCTTTGAATGTTGAGTTCATTTCTTGAACATGTGTAGCTCTGTGGAGCCAAGTGGAAAGGTGGAGTAGGAAGGTGAGTATGTGGAGCACAGAAGACTGTCTGGAATGGAGACAGACATGCAGAAGTCATTGGTGTAGGAGATGGTCTAGGAAGGGTACAGAGTGAAAAGAGGGCAGGGCTGGGAGACATCCAACACTTAGAGATCACCAAGGGAAACTGAAGGCTGGGCAGAAGGCAAGGAAGAAAACCTGGAGTGCTGGGTTCCAGAAGGGGAGGGAAGAGAGTGTCAGAAGGATGGGGAGGGCATCCAAGATAAGCATCACAGGGAGGCCAGTAAGGTGAGGGCTGGAAGATGTCCTGTGGATTTAGTGACACAGAAGTCAGTGGTGACCTTAGTGAGACCCTTCTTGGCAGCATGATGGGACAGAAGTGTGTTAAGGAGTGTGTTGAGGTGAGAAAATGGAGGCAGACAATGCAAAAGAAATGAGGGATGAGAGCCTACTGACTTTTTTTATTTTTGAGATGGAGACCGGTGACATTTTAAAGGGAGATATTTGCACATGCTCACGAGCTGCTAACAAGGATCCAGGAGAAGGGAAAGTGGATCAGACAGACAGGAGAGACTGGATTAACTAATGGGTGGCTGAGGCTCTCAAGAAGGTGTGGGACCCAGAAAACAGCTGCGGGCTGGTCCAGAGGGAGGAGAGACCCTCCCTATTGCATCCAGGGAAGAGGGAGAAGGAGGCGTGTGCAGATGGAAATGGTTTAATTCTCAGTGGAAAACTGAGGGAGCTTCCAAATGAATTAAGGCAGTTCCTGAGACAGGAGGAAGAATGCGGTGGGGGAAAGTAGGATGAATTCTGGGGAGAGTTCTGGCTGGAGTGGCCTTGATCAGAGTAGTAAGTTGACCAGAGAATCACAGGGAAGTCCTTAGGAAGTGTGAGGAGCCCACCTGAAGTTGGTGGCCATGAAGGCAGATGGAGATTGGTCTCTAGTGTGATTTTGTCTAGAGAACTGGGCACATATAAACCAGGTACTGAGTTCATTCAAGGTTGGGGTTTCACTGGGTGGGTGTGATAAAAGGCAGCGAGGCAAGGGCATCTCCTGGTTGTCACCTTGATATCCCATGGACATGTCATTCTCAATATGTCCCAAAATCTGCTCCTCTTTCTAAATTCCTCATCTTGGTTAATAACAATACAATCACCTATAATGTCTCTAATAACATTTATTAAGAACATGATATCAGATATGAAAACAGATATTATTTTTTTAGAGATGAGCACTTGCTATGTTGCCCAGGCTGGTCTCGAATTCCTGGGCTCGAGTAGTCCTCCCAACTTGGCCTCCCAAAGTGCTGGGATTGCATATGTGAGCCACCATGCCTGGCCAATACCAGATATATTAGAAGAATCATCTCATGATCATCCAACAACCTTATGGGGTATTATTCATTTTACAGACATGCCTCAATGAGGTTATGTAACCAGCTCAAGGTCTCTGTAAATGGCAGTCAGGATGAAAACTTAGATCTCTGAGGCTCCGAAGTCCTTCCCCTTTCCCATGGCCACACCACCTGTAATTTCTGTTGCCTTAACACTGCCTGTCTCTGATGTGTTTCTTCCTCCCACCTCCCACACCATGTCAGTTGTCACTTTCTATTTGCTCATCTCTGTCCTGTCTCTTGCTACTTCCTGCCATGCCACTCCACCCCATCTGCTTCCCTGGTTGATTCCACCAGAATGTAAACCCCACAAAGGCAGAGATTATCATCAGTCTCGTTTTCTGCTCTCTTCGAGGCCTGGAGCAGCTTAAAGTAACCATTAGGCTCATTAAATAGTTGTTGAATAAATTTGTCTATCTGGAGATAATTCTCTGTGGGAGTCTTGTGGGCAGAGGCACTGATGGCTTTTTTGTTCCCACTATCTTTTGGAGACTGGTTGCATAGCAAACAGCCTTGAAAGATAGCGTCTCCCTCTGGCAGAGGGCCGTTCTGTTTGCTGTCCAGTAGTCTAGGGCCAATGTTGGGCAAGTTTGCTTGCAGTGCATTATAAAAGATTGGGGCTTCCTAAGCTCGGAGTTCCTCAGTGTGTGTGGTCCAGTCTCATGTCCCTTCCATGGGACTTCAGAGTTAAGGAAAGGTGATCTGAATGTGAAGCTCTTGCAGCCTGCTGTGCCATGAGTGATTAAACTCCTTGTGTCTGGCCCAGAGTTTCCTGTCTTCTGCTGGCATCCATGAAACTGCAGCAGGTTAACTTAAATAGCAAGGTAAAATCTCAGACCCTTCAGAATTCTTGACAATGGCCTTTATCATCTTCCACTTCCTCCCAAACACCTGCCTCCAATGCCAAAGGTGTTCACTAGAGGAAAGACAATTCATCCAGGCTCCCGTAACAGCCCCCCAAGGCCCTGGCAGGATGGCTCCTGCCTCCCTGTCTAACCTCACCTCTCATCACCCCCACCTCTGCTCTAGCTCAGGCAACCTTCCCCTGCGTAGGTTCCTACTCTTTTGCATCTATGCCCTTGTCATGCTGTCCACTCCACAGGGGTCATCCTTCTCCCCTTCTGACTGTCCATCCTTTAGGCCAGGATCCTCCAAGAGACCTACCCAGAGACCAGTCAGAATTTCCCTGTCACTGTACCCCCACTTTACTTATCCTTTTGCTTTGTATTGTGAAGACCTGGGTCAACCCATGCTGCCTCTCCAGGAGGTTCCATTCCCTCACCTTGTGATCCTTTCAGCCTCTGTAACCCCTGGCATACAGTAGGTGCTCCACAGACAAGTGATGTCCTGAAGAGTTGACCTGCACAGGGAACAGCCTTGCGGGATGGTGGGATGGAAGGACGGAGGAGTGGAAAAGACATCCCGAGGAAAGGGAACAGAAGCATGGAGGTGGAAACGTCTAGGGCAGGGGAAATAACCCCATGGAGTGAGATTGAGTTCATGAAGGAAGGCTGAAAGAGGTGAGTCTGAAAAGAAGAAAGCAAGGCTCAGGGCCCAGGAGGGCTTTAACCACTGGGGCCCCCTTTCCCTCCGAGGGCAAGAGCTCTGGCGAGGGCTCCAGGGTCTGCGTCCCCCGACCAGGGGCCTCAAGAGGCTAAGCCCCCTTGCAACTACCTCTCCCGCCTCTCGCCCCCCACCCACCTCCCACCCGCTCTGCCTACGTCGGCCATCAGAGCCTCGCTCGCGGCCCGAGAGCCTCGCATTGACGCGGGCCCGCGCGTGAGTCAAGCCTGCGTCACGGCGCCCCGCCGCCAGGGTGGCCTTTCGGAAAGCGAGGGAACAGTGCGCGCTGCGCTCCGCCCAGCTCCGTTCCGCTCCGCAGAGCCGGCACGACCAGGGCGCAGGGAGGGCGGCACTCGGCCACAGTCTTCGCAGCCCCGCGCGCTCTCTCCGCCGCGAGACCTGGGTCCCCGCGCCGCTCCCGTGAGCCCCGAGTGCGCGGCGGGCGGGAGCCGGGTTGGGACTGGCGGTGAGGCTGGGAGTGAGGAGCGAGTGGAGTCGCGCGCGGCGGCGCGCAGCTCCGGTCGCCCAAGCCCCAGCCGGGGGCCTGTGGCCCGGGGGAGGAGCTGTGCGTCCGCGACCCGTCGGGGACCGCGGCTGCTCGGCGGGAGTGCACGGGCCGTGTCTGCGCGACTGCCCACGCGTGACAGGTGAGTCGCCGACCGCGCCCCGCCCGGCTTTACGGGGCCGGCCATTGCAACTTTCCCTGTTCTGGCCCCGCCCCAGCCAGGGAGGGCTGAGGACCAAGGTGCGAGGCGGCGCTCTCCCCGCATCCGCTCGACCCTGCGCCGGTCCCGGGCTCCTCTCGCTCCTCCAGCCGCCGTTGCCTGGTGACGGAGCCCCGGGGCCCGCTCTCCTTCGCGCATCGGGGTGCCCAGTGGCGCACGCATGGGTTGGACACCAGGCTTCAGCTTCTGGTGCTCAAGAGGGCTCAAGAACTCCGGAGGAAATTGGGCTGAGCTGCAGAGGCAAGCGCCTGCGGAGAACCGGGAGGGGGCCTGCCCGGCCCTTCCGCCGCTTGAAACTGCGCGCCCAGGGCGCGATTCCACTGGGAACCTCCTGTGCAGCTGGAGACCCCAGCCCCAGCCGCTCGGCCTCGGGCCTGTGACCTTGACAGTAGCATTGGCAGCGAAGCAGAACGCTCAAGCCCGAGATGAATATTTAATTCCTAGTCCTGGGGCTGGTCCTCGCTGGATTCGGAGCCAGCAGAGAACCCTTCCTCCCTTGTGGGAAGCGCATCTGGGGAATGGAATGGCTGAGATAGGGGATGTGCGTGGGGTGCCCATCTGGAGGGAGCGTCGTCCTGGCCGGGCGAGAGGCCTCTGCTACATTTATACCTGTGTGCGCCGTGCTCTGAAGCGATGCTGGATGCTTGCTTTACTACAGAGAGGGCCGCTTCCCCAGGGGCGCGGCCGCCTCGGAAAGAAGCGTGATGTTTCCTTTTAAAGGCCAGACAGCCCTGGCAGAAATCAAGTTCAGAAATCCCAGAAATCCCAAGGCCATTCACCGTACAGAGCCTAGGCCCTGTCAAGTTGGCTTTAAAAAATATTTTTTGATCCCATTCCTCTTTCCTTTTTTTTTTTTTTTTTTTAAGAAATACTTCAACAGGCCTTTTGGATTTGGAGATTTCTAACCAGAGCTACCTTTGGGGCCATTCATCTGTGAACTGGCAGCAAATGGGGATGGGCTGGGGAGACAGGGAAGTGGTAGGAAGAAGGAAGATTCTTTTTCCGGGCACTGTCCTTGTTAACAGGAACTTCAGGAACAAGGACAATCCTGTAATGGCTCCAAAAAAATTCAACCAAAACTTTAGCGCCTAACTGTGAAGGCCTTGCTGGCCACGATGACTGATGTCTGGAGAAGGTCAGAGTGTGCTGAGGTTAACAGTGGGGGGTTCTTATATCTCGTTCTGTGCTTACATTATCCCATGGCTCTGTGAGGCAGACCCATCACCTGGGCAGGAAGAGCTTTGAGGTCACACCTGATTGTCCTTGGCCATGGCCCATCCACGGGGACCATCAGAGGCTTTAGCTCTGCTGCCGGATTTTTCTCTAATGGAACATCTGTGGCTAAGTAGGTGGTTGAGTTTCAGCGAATCCCTGCAGCTCAGCCTGGAGGGTGACTCAGTGCAGGAGGCAAATCGTGCCCACCAGCTTTGATTGGAGTGAGTTTGTTTGGCCTGAGTCACTCACAGAGTCGTGTGTCAGCTGATTGTGAGTTGAATGGAGTTCTTTAGCAGGACTCGTGAGCAGGAATGGCCTGAGCCCAAGTGTTTCGGGCAGAGGTGGGCAAGTTCTCTGAAGGAGCTAAGCGCAACTTTGGCTGCTGAGCAAGTTTCCTGGAGCTCTGACTCCATGGGAAGATGAGCAGGGCCAGGCTGGGCTGGGCAGGGAGATGGGGAGAGTTGAAGGGGAGGGAGTGGAAAGACTCTGTGATTGTGGTCAGAACTGGGTCCAGTGTTCTGCCATGTGCTGGTGGGGTGACCTTGGGCAAGTCACTTCACCTCGGGAGTTTCAATTTCCTCAGCTGTAAAACTAAGATGCCTATGATATTTTTTCTGCAGGCTTATTTTGAGCCAGGTGTTAGACACAGCAGGTGCTCATCAGATGTTAGTTCCCCATCCCTTCCCTTATGGGCCGTAACCAGAGGCAATTCTTTTTCTCACTGACCCTGCTCCACCACGAAAGGAGACGTGGAGACACGTGAAGGTTCGGTGCTTCCCATGTAATTAAGAAGGACCCATAACTCAGCTTCACATAGGCCTGTTTCCAAGCCTTAAGTCTCTCCATGAGACCCTAAATTGGGAAGCCTCATTAAGAGCAGGATTAGTGTTGGGGTAGGATGGGGTTCAGCTGTGCTGGGTCTGCTGGCTGCGCTTGGCCACCTGCAACAGCTCTGGGGTGACTCCAGGACAGATCTTGACTCCTTTGGGTTGCTTCTGACTGTGGCCTTGTCCCAAGCTGCAGCACATGCTGGGTGGACTTCAGAGCTCTTTGTTCATGTCTTGACATCCTCCTCCCCAGCCATTCTATCCGTAATAGAATTGAAAGCTACAAGAGAACTGTTCAGGAGAACTGAGGCTGGCCTCTCCCAGAGAGGAAAAGGGGGGTGTGTCACTCCTGTTTTCCTGAAGGATCCTGGGCCCCTACTTTTCTCCTTCTGTAAAATGATTTGGGTGCTGAGCTAAGATGTGTGTGCCTTAAGAGTGAAGGAGATAAGGGGATCCCCACTGCAGCAAGAAAGAAGCCATGCTGGCTCTGGGGACTCCAATCTGCTACTGGAAATGTGTGTGTGTGTGTGTGTGTGTGTGTGTGTGTGCGCATTGCCATTCATTTTGGAGCCAGTGTCCTCCCCAGAAGCAGTTTCCTTTTGCCTGTGCACCCTCCCTTCCCTTAGACTCCTTTTCTGTCCAGGTTTGCTGCAGCAGGACAATTCGTTATTAATCCATTCAAAGCTGCTAAGATAAGCAGCAGATTAGCGTAAAGGGAATATGGGTTTAAGCTTTTTGGCTAGAACTAGCTCTGAGTTATCACTCGCTCCCAGGCTGAGCTCTAAGTCCTCACAGCCAAACACCTGGAGCACCAGGATGGGAAAACAAAACAAAAAACATGTCACCTCAGCCCTGACTGATGTGCTGGCTGCAGAGGTCGGAAGCACAGTGCCGTAGGTAGATCTGATTGCTAGAACACTATCCCAAACTCAAGTGGGACAGTGGCCTGTGAGGAAATGCCTACTTCACGTGCTTTTAGGAGGGGTGAATGCAGTTCTGGATTCCAGCAGGTCACACTGTACTTGGCACAAATTGATAATATCCAGTTGTTTATTGAGGCTTCTGTTCTGTGCTAAGTGCTTTATTCCCAGACCATCTCATTTAATCTTCACTACAATCCCAGGAGGCAGATATTGCTATCTGCACTTTACAGATTGTAAAATTTAAGGTTCAGAGAGGTTAAATAATTTGCTCACGGTCACATGGATAGTGAGTGGCAACCAAAGAATTGGAAGTCTGTCAGTCCAAACTTCATGTTCCTAACCTCTATATGGTAGTTTTCTGCAATACACTCTTAATAAATGCTGACGACATAAGCATTTACGCAGACAAGATTGTCTAGACTTGTGGGTCCAGTTTTTTTAAGCTAGTGCCCCGGGAAAAGGGGAAATGGGCCTGCACTAATTGCAAATTGGTGGGAAACGAACATAAGCAAATGTCCAAGGTTTGGGGAATGTGGTATTTGGCTCCAGGCAGGTTGAAATCCAGAAAAAGATCCCAGGCTCCATCTTGGTGCTTTTTTGTCCTTTCCCTGCCCTTCTCTTCCTGACCTCTACTGCCCTTGACCTCATTCCCTTAAAATTTGTCCAAGCCAGGGGTTCGTGTGTGGAGCAGTGAGAGGAGTCAGGGCCGGGTGCATGTTGCCCTGACAGTTTCCGCATATGCAGAGTCAAGGACGGCCACTGGCTGATGGGAGCTTGGTGGGTCAGGTTTCTCTGCTGAAGAGTGTATGCCAGCGATTTGCAGTAGTTTATGGTGAGTCTCAGACCCCAGAGCAAAACTGCTAACACTTCAAGGTTATTTACAGCAGCTGCTGGCAGGGCTGCTTGGGGGAGAAGCCGCATGCTTCTTCCTAGACTTCCTGATCTTGTCCCATGGAAAGCCCACTCTCTCCTCACTCCAGAGCTTTGCCATGCATGTCCTTGACCACTCTCGGAAACCTGGCACTGATTCCTCCAGCTTCTCTGTCTCTTCTCTTTCTCGGAAAAATTGCCAGCCCCAGAACAGACCCATGCTGTCCTAGCCTGCCCATCATCTCCAGACCACCTGAGATCTCAGAAAGTTCCTGAAGGTGGATAACTGAATGTAAGTATGTATTAAGGCTCCTCACCCTCGGTGGATGAAGAGGACTTCCCAGAAACCCTTGCTTCACAGGCAGCCATTTTGTGGAGATAAGTCCTTTGATAATTCTCTTTTTCTTCCTCCTCCTCGCATGAGTGAATCTTGAAACATTGCTCATTTATGGGCAAATCCAGTTATATTTTAAAAATATGGTTAGATATTTAGTATGTACAGAAAATTCACATGAAGAACATAAGCTCAGATGCGATATGAATTACTGTATACACTTATTCTCATATTCAGGACCAGGTATGCTTCGGTAGAGACTAATTCTGGGTCAGGTGAGTCCTAGGCTGCCTGAGTCCCTATCTACAGAGCTGAGTCCATTCTTTGTTCTCTTGTGGAGTGGGAGGGAGGCATATATAGAGCCCCAGCTCACAGGCCCTGGGGTCACCTCATTGGCTGCAGTTGTCCTACTGAGCTGCCACTCTCCCTTCCCAAGCCCACCTAGCAGTTTATTTGAAGATAACAAGTTGCCTGTCACTGTACTCCATCATTTCTAATTACTGATTTAATTAGAATTTCTGCTGGACTCTGTGTGCCACTAATTTACCACCTGTTATTTGCTTGCAAATGGAATTCACTGGTCCACACCCCAAAATTCTACTAGCTACATTTTTCTTTAATTATAAGACTCCTGGGTTCCTGAGGCTTTAAATCCCACACCAGTTCTAAATAGGGCAGAAGCAATGTTTGCTAAAGCTACCTTGCAAGAGGAATGAATAGTCATGTGATAGGGTGTTTCCGGAAGGTACTACCAAGTGAGTATTCACTCACTGAGGAATTGGGCCTCCCTTCCTCTGCCCAGATCTAAAGGAAGGAGAGCAGATGTTCTGTGCTGCACAACCTGTGGCTGGCTCCCAGAATGACCTGGTGGACGCTGTCCATGGTCCTGTCACACCACTGAGGCCATCTGCCTGCTAGTAATTTGGGACTCCTTTAGAACAGCTGGAAGGAATCTCCTTGACCAGTTCCCCAAATTGTTTTATATTGCGAATTTTGGAAGAGGACTTGGTTAAGTGAGCAAGTTCCTGACCTCTGGGAGAAGTGATGGTAGATGGGCTCATTCCACTGTTGACTTCCTGAATGTATCATTTTGCACAGTGTATCATTTTGCACAGTGTATCATTTTGCAAGGCTGGATGGTACACTGCAAAACTTCCCAACCGGTGCCACAGATGGGTAGCATGTGGCCCAGAAATAATGATGCCCTCATCCCTTGGAGTAGCCTGGGATGGCCTAGCATGGTGGCGCCTCCTCCACATACCCCAGTGTGCCATGCCAGTGTTATTTTCTGTGCCATGAAATGCAAAAGATTGGAACTTACCAGTATGTCTGAAAATAAATACAACCACAGTTTGGTGGATGACAGTCTGAATCCCTGCTCTTCCATTTTATGGCTGGGTAATCTTGTACATGATAGAGGCTTTTTTTTGTCTGAAAGATAAGAATTGTATTTTATCTCAAGTTTTTGGGAGGATAAATAACATATGTAAGCACAGTGGGTCACCTGTGGCTTGTCTCAATAGGATACTTTTCTGCCCAGCCCTCTGCAAAGCTGCACTGAAGCCTGGTGAGGAAAGAGACACAAACCCTTCTCATTTTCAGGAAAGAGGCATCATGTGGGGACTGTAATTAAGGGTTTCTGATCACTATTCCTTCAAGAGCTCTTCAGCAGTCTGTTTGGTAACTCAGGTAATTGGACACCCTCGGTTCCCTCTGTCTCTTTCTGAGACAAGAAAAAATAGTGACTTGAAGAAAATCCAGGTCAGATGATTTTGGCAGATGCTGTGAGGACTCATCTGTCCCCATAGTGGTCCCCCCATGAATGAGGAAAGAAAGGAGTGAGGCTTTCACTAGTTGTTCCTGGACTTTTATTTGTATGTCTAGTTTAAAAAAATTTTTTTCCAAATTGGTATATTCTCATGGGTCCTTTATCTGCCTGAGACCTAATGTGCCCTTCAGAACCTCAGGACCTCGGTTTCCCTTCCTTTTCAAAACTCAAGCCTCATCCAGTAGGCTGATCCACATCACCATCATTGCTTACCTACCGTCCCTGTTTCCTCACTTGTCCTACCAGCAGCCATTGATCCCTATACAAATAGTCGGATCAGGCCAGGTGCAGTGGCTCACGCCTGTAATCCTAGCACTTTGGGAGGCCGAGGTGGGTGGATCACGAGGTCAGGAGATCGAGACCATCCTGGCCAACATGGTGAAACCCTGTCTCTACTAAAAATACAAAAATCAGCTGGGCGTGGTTGTGCATGCCTGTAGTCCCAGCTACTCAGGAGCCTAAAGCAGGAGAATCACTTGAACTCAGGAGGCGGAGGTTGCAGTGAGCTGAGATTGCACCACTGCACTCCAGCCTGGGCGACAGAGCAAGACTGCATCTCAAAAAATAAAATAAAATAATACAATAAAATAAAATAAAATAACACTCAGATCACATCTCTCCTCTGCTTGAAAACCTCCAACAGCTTCCCATTAGCCTTGAAAGAAAACCCTAACTCCTTTCCATGCTTGGTGAGTCCTGCCTGCTCTGGACAGTCACTATCTTCCTAGCCCAGCACCTTCCACTCTTCTGTTGTTCAGGGTGCTCTAGGCCTCTGGTTGTCTGTCTGTTCCTTGTACTCACCAAGCATGCAGGTCCTGCCTCAGTGCATTTGCACTTTCTGTTCCCTCTGCTCCGAATGCTTTCCCAGGACATCCACATGGTCCTCTCCCTCACTCTGTTCAAGTCTTTATGTCACCTTCTTGGAGGTGCTTCCTTAACCCCCAGCTCTGTTGTAGCATCCCTGTTCTGCTCCACCCCCTCATACTCTATATTGTATGTGTTTATTTGAAATACTTATATATACTATCAGATATAGCATATGTCTATATATACACTATAAATTATATACTTGTCTGATTTTTGTCCCTCTGCACTAGAATATAAATCTCATGGCTCAGGGACATTATTTGCTCTGTTCTCTTTTGTACTAGAACAGGGCCTAGCACATAATGTTCAGCAAATATTTGTTGAAAGAAGTAAAGGAAAGGAAGGCAGGAAAGAGATTAAAAAAACAGCAAGAGGACTGTTTTAAAATCCCATGTTTCAGCAGTACCTCTAGTTTATAGGAGTTGCTGGGCTCTATTTTCCTTCCAGGCCAAAAGGGAAGTATAGGTGGGAGAACTGAGCCCCAGCATCCCCCGCTAGCCCACTGTGTCCTTGGGCTCCACGTGCATGTCTGCATGTCCCACCCAGCTCCGGGGCATTGTGGGATGTGGGTGAGTACACCTTGATTCCTGGTTAAGCCCATTTTTTCCCACATGTTCTCACAGGAAGGTGGTAGCTGGCACATGGTTGATGGCACGCCCCTGAGGGCCTGGCCTGTGTTGAGCACAACTCTTGTATTACCTGATTTTATACTCATGACAGCCCCACGAGGTGTAGCATCCTTCATCCCTATCTTTTCGGGTCCAGAAGGTAAAACCCAGAGGGGTTGTGTACTTTCCCAAAGACCAATATCGCATAAATGGCAGAGTAGGACTTCAGGTTTCCCTGGCTGTAAAACCCATGATAGCATTGAGGTTGAGAGTCAGGCTCCAAGGTCAGTCTGTCAGTGCAGATCCAGGGCTTTGGATGATTTGCCTTATTTCATCAGTTCCAAAATGTATACTTTTACACATTGCCACGTCTTAAAATCAGGACATGATATTGCAATCAACAGCAGTTTCAGAATGACTGTGGGTCTATAGCAGCTCACCCTAGTTGGGTGGAAACCTTCAGTGGACCCTTTCTGGTAAGTTCAAGAAAGTGTCAGCATTGAAGGATCCTAGATTCAATGAAATGTAGGCAATTATCCCTCTGAGTTTCCATGTCTGCATTCGTAAAATGGGAATAATAGTGCTATATACCTGATATGATTACTGGCAGGATTAAGGAGCTAATATTCGTGTGGGGCTCAGCATTGTGGTTGCCACAGAGATGGTACTCCAGTACTATGGCCTATGTGCTGTGTTGTCATTGTTATTATTACTACACCCCATTCTGCCTTCAGAAGTCCCCTCATTGGATCCCTCAACACCTGAATTCCAGTAGAGAGAGAATGCATGGGTGGGGTAGAGAGAGAATGCAGTCCTGGGGCAGCCCTTGTTTACGGCACACAGAGCATGCATTCTCCCGCGTGAGATGGTAAGATGGAACCACAAGATCTGTTTGCACTGGCCACACACCCGTTTTTCAGTGCCAGTTCCTCCCGCTCTGCACCATCTGCCCCCTTTCCTGCTTCTCTTCCCTCTTGACTAAGAAAACAAGATATCGACTGAAGAGAACAGACTTGGCAATTGCAACAGGAAGGAGAGAAAGGGCTGCAGAAGATGCCACTGGCTCCTCAGCTAGATGTCTTGTTTGGAACAGTCCCACCAGTCCCATGGCATGCTGTGTGTCAGGACTGTGCCCACCCTAAGATTATTTCCCGGGGGTGAGGAGGGATTCTGTTTACAAAGTAGGGAAGGCACAGAACAAATGCTGACTCCTTCGAAAGTGGCAAGAAGTCACCAAGGCATGGCCAGGCTTCTTAGTGTATCCTGGCTTTCACACTGTCGCTTGGGGCATCCTTGGGACATGACATGGTCTTGGCGTCAGAATATTGCATCAGAAAATGGGAGAAGCTGGAAGCTGGATAAACAGATTCTGGAAACTTTGAGGAATTCAAGAATGGATCAACTCATTTGTGCACTCATTCAATTCAATCATACCATATTTATCAAGTCACACTATAATAAGCTACCAGGATGTGGCCTTGCAGAAGCAAAGATGGTGTCAAATGAGGTATCAAATGGAGGACCAAACAAACCCAACAGATCTGTGACAGGGAGTAAAAAAAAAAATCACCACTCTGTTCATTTGACTTTCAGTAAGCTTTTCTTTTTCTTTCTCCTTCCATCCATGTGGTAGCCAGATGCAGCCGGTAGGTAAG